CGCTCGCCTGTGTTCACTGCCGCTACATAGCCGATCGCCTCTTGACATAGCGATCGTGTGTTTACTGTGTGCCTCCTTTTCCAGATATTATTCCTGGCTGCGCCAGTTTGTGCGTCTCCCAGGAGCGGAATTGGGATTGCTTGTCTTCGATCATAGCTAGCTGCCCTGGGACTGAGTTCTTGCCCTCTTCTCGCTTCTTGTCCGCTCGCCCTCTTTGCGTCTTTCCCTCTTCTCGCCTCTTGCCCGCTTGCCCTCGTCTCGTCCCTTGTCTTCAACGTGAGTCCGGATCACCTGTATATCGACCGTGTCGGTGGTGATGGGTTCCGGCTCTGGCATCAAGTCCGTCTCACAGCTCGTTTTCGCAATGGGGACTTTCTTGATGATTGCCGTGGCGTCGAACGGCGAGACCTACCTCATTCTGGACAACCTTGTGCAGGGTACGGGGTACCACTTGTGGTACATCGTGAAGATTCGATTCCATTGCGGCGCTTGGGAGCGTCTCGGCTCCAAAGACATGGGGCTCGGTGGTTCTGGCAATTCCGGAAGCAAGTGGATCATTGATTGGACAATTTTTATTGGGGATGGTGGATATTTTTGGGCCTTCTCGTTGGCACATTCAGTGAGGATCTCCAAAGGCAGGACCTTTCGTGTTTTCATCATGTTCACGCTCATTGTGCCCGCCCTCTACAGCATCGTCTGGTTCTGCGTGTGGGGCACCGGGGGTATTCGCATGCAGCACATGGCAGAGTCAGCGGGCCTGTGAGCTCAAGCTTACGATGGGGGATCGTCCTGGTCTGATCAGTACAGTTTGACGGATGAGCAGAATCTGAGCATGGGCTGGACCCCCGGGTGCGTGCTGGACGATGCTTACCACGGCGGATACGGCAGGTGCAAGGGGCGAAGGTCAGTAGGTACGTGAATCCTTCCAAACAAGGAAAGGGCAAGCAGTGCGTTAAGCATACCTCGTGGGATGAAGTGCCGTGCGGCGCGGACCCCGATCCTACCGCAATCACAATATCGGAAGACGACGGTATTGGTTGTGAGAAGCGCATGACCGAAATCAGCGAGCTGGACGCTGACAGTTACAACCAGTTCCCGGACACCAGGCAGTCTGACTGCTTCGTGCCTCTCCAGGATGGTACCGTGTGCCTGTACAACCAGGCTACGGCACACATCCTCTTCGACAAGATCTCCTCGTACGGTCCGCGGGGCTACTCCGACATGTTGTGCGCGGTCACGCTCATGATTTTGAGGTTCTACTTCGTGACCTCGTCGGATTCTGGATCGTTCGCAGTGGACATCCTTTCCTCCGACGGCCACCCCTACCCCCCGGTGTTTCAGCGCGTCCTCTGGTCCTTCACAGAAGGGATCACCGCCATTGCTTTGCTGTGTTCCGGCAACAACGCGAAATATCCAGACGCTGCACTTAAGGCTCTCCAGCAACGTCCATCATCACGGGCTTGCCCTACACATTTGTCATGTTCCGGTGCTCGCAGTTTTTCGTGATCTTGTGCCAGGAGGAGAACGGTGGGCTCGACCCTAACCAGAATCAACGCAAAGAACATCGTAGTTGAAGAACACGGCCGTGCCTGGCTTAACCATGGGCAGGGCTGTGGTGCACGTCGGCAAATGGCATTTCTCAGGCCTCGGTCCGAGCGTTACGTTTGGCTTGTGGACAGGCGCCTTCTCTCTGCTGTACCACATGGCAATCATTGTCACCATCTGCACTGCGGCCCGGTACCAATGGACGCTCATCGACTGCATGTTTTACATCGGCTTCGGTACCTTCGTTGGCTTGTTCCGCAACCACATGCGCGTGAAGCACTTCATCGAGCATGGCGACATCGCCACGGACCTTCTCTGCAGCATATTTGCGCCCATATGTTCACCCTCTCCCAGATGGAGGCGCAGTTCACGGAGCCGATCGAGATCAAGAAGAGAAACGACGACCTAGAACTGATATTTGATCCACGGGCGGAGAAGGTGGCGCCGGGACGACCGGCCCCGTAAGGAGGGGGAGGAGGGGGGAAGAGAGAAAGAGGAGTCGTTGACAATCGAGAGGGCGTCGATTGCAGAGCAAGCTGGGGAGGCTTTTTAATGGCACGGCACCCCAAGCCGAGAACCCGCTGCGGCTGTGTGCCAGCAAGTTGGGTGTTGCCAATACGATCTTCCCCAAAGCAGTGCGCGTAACACCCAATACTCTACGTATACCGGTGCGTGCGAGCGCGGCGCGGTTGCGGCGCCCACAACCATCTCGGCGGTCTCCCCTGGGAAGGAGAAGCTATGGAGAGGAGGAGGAGGCGGAGGAGGAGGAGGAGGAGGACAGAGGACACCGTGATACGGTGACGGTCTCAAAGGAGAGTAGAGCCTAATTTCCTACGTACCTTTTGGCAACGTGGCACCCTGTGCCGATTTTGTGTCATTAGTTTGGGGACTATAGAACGATTCCCCTAATATGCCGCACTGGGCACCGAATACCAGTTCTAAGCCGGTACCCTCTGCAATTGTCGGGCCATCCTTGCCCGGGGCACCACCTTCCTCCCTCCTCCCTCCCTCCCTCCTCCCTCCCTTCCCTCATCTCAAAGGAGAGTGGAGCCCACCTTCCTACCTTCTGGCAACGTGGCACCCTTTGTCGATTTTGTGTCATTAGGCTGGGGACTGTGAAACGGATTCCCCGAATATGCAGCTTTGGACACCTAATACCAGTTCTAGTTTGGTACCCTCTGCAATTGTCGGGCCATCCCTGCCCGAATTTAAAGGAGCGCCGCAGGGCGCCACCTTCCTCCCTCCCTCCTCCCTCGCTCCCTCCCTCCTCGCCTCCCGCCTCCCCCCGTCGCCAAGGCATCGCGCTGGCCTGCTCCTCGGACGAGATGCATACTTGCCAGCACTTCTGTCACGTAGTTTGCAGACGGGTGCTGCGCAAACACGCTGGCCAAGAAAAAAGAAAAAACATCCTTCAATCGGCCACACGTGCCTTTCTTTTCAATGAGGAAGCGCCCCCCGACAAAGTAATGGTCATACCGTTCAAACAGACGTCCAGCGATACCTCTCTTTCGAAGACGAGCCGCCCCCTCCATCCGTGTAACCCTTGTACAACCTTTACCATCCTGGTAACGACATTCGATGAAAGGTCAAGCGACAGCTCCATTCTGAAAACGAGCCACCATGGACCCGTGCAGAGCTACGTGCGTTGAAGTTCTGGGTCGCTAAGCTTGGCGAAGCCTCAGGCGATAAGTCCATTTTGAGAAAGAGCAGCCCTCCATCTGGCTAAATGCTGCATTGAACAACGAATGCGCGCGGCGCCGACGCGAAAGCCCAGTTTTGAACAGAAACCGCCTTCCATCCGTCAAGCTAGTGTGAGCTTTGGAAAATAGTCTGTGCGGCGTTGAGGTCAGAGTGCCGTCTGGAAAACGACCCCCCGCCCATCCGTGAAAATGTTGCAAAAGTTCACAACGAATGCGTGCGTTGTTGAGGCGAGAGTCACATTTTGAAAATGCCTCCCTCCATCTGCGAAGTTGCTGCAGTTAAGACGATTGCGCGCGGCGCTGAAAGCCAAATTTAAAAAAACAACACCCCCCTCAATCCGTGAAAAGGTTAATGAATGCGGCGCTATGGCGGAAGCCGCATCTTTAAAATTGCTTCCCGCCATCCGTGAACCTGCTTCGAACTTAAATCAGAATGTGCGCTGCGCCAGGGCGATGGCCGCATTTTGAAGAGAAGCCGCCCGCCATCCGTGAAGCCGGTGCACAACTTGTGCGTGAATGCGGGGGGCGCGAGGACGAGAGCCTCATGTTTGAAAGCCACCACCCCTTCCATCGGTGATATACCGTTGCAGACTTTCACGCCGAAGGCGTGCGGCCCTGTGGCACCAGCCACATGTTGGAAACCACCCAGCCTCCGTCCGTGAAGCCTCTGGAGTTGTTTAAACGGACTTGCGCGGCGCGGAGGCGAGAGCCACATGTTCGACCCACCCCGCCCATCTGCGAAATGCTTACTCCAGATTTCATAATAAAGAGAGGGGGGTCTCATTTCGGGGGGGTCTCTTCCAGGCTATCTTGGAGGGCCTGGGGGGGTCTGGGGACGATGTTTTGGAGGGTTCTCCCACGGGGGGGGTCTGAAATGGCTTGTCTTGGAGGGTCCAGACCCCCTCCCTTTTATTACGAAATCTGGAGTAAGTTGTTTGGACGACTGCGCGTGGCGTTGAGGCGAGAATCGCATGTTGAAGACCACGCCCCTTCCAACCTTGAAAGTATCACCATGCTCAACTTCAGAATGGTACATGGTTCGGAAGTTTAGGCAGAACGCCCGGCCAGCCCTGCGACGCCCAGGGGTGCGACAGGGAGAAGTTGCATAGAAGGAAATGTGATTCAGCAGCAGGAGCGGCAGGGGGAGGTGACGGGAACAACGAGGAACGAGGCGGATTCAGAAGTGCTGCCCGTGTTTGGGGGAGAGCGCGATCCCGAGCGATCGCGGCAGCGTGCCGATCTCGAAATGTGGCCGACGATGCGGCGGGAACGCCCATCTGAAGGTCCAGACCCGATCCGTTTTGGGAAACCACACTCGGTGTTGTGTGGAGCAAATGATTGAGTTCTGGCGCGTGAGACCACAATGCGGCACGGGCGAGTTCAAGCCATCACCTCGTCATGGGAGCGACGAGAGCAGCACCCAGGATCAGTATTGGCACATCGGGGAGCAGGAGCATGCAGGGACGGTTCCCACGTGGAGGGGCTGCCAAGGGCGAGGCCGGATGCCCGCATGAAGAGGGGATCGCAGAGGAGGGGTGGGGGATGCGCGGAGAGGGTGCCAGGGCGGGAGGTGGAGCGGGAAGAGAGGGTAGCGGTTGCGAAGGAAGGGAATCGGGGCGCGCGTGCGGTATTTTCACAGAGTCGACGTTCACATCGGGGCCGATATCTTCAAGTTTTGTCCGCCATCGTTGCTGCGCGCTCGAGCCTGCGTCGCGGCCTTCGGCTCTCTCTGGTCCCTCTGCGGCGCGCGGCCAGGTGAGCACCCCCAGGGGCGGCTGAGATAGGCTCTGGCGCGCCGGTCCCCAACCGGACGCCTGGAGGTCAGGGCAGGTGATTTGGAGTGTTGTGCGATGAGGTTGGGAATGAAGAGCACGTCGGGGGGGGAGCGGCGGTGGCAGCAACGATGGGCGGCGGGCCGCGTGGCAGGTAGGGTGGCTGTCTGGCTGGCCAGGGGAGCAATAGGCAGTGATGCAAGTGTGGCTGGGATTGGGACAATGGGCATCCGCAAGCGAAAGCACGTGGGGAGGCGGCGCATCTGAGCAGGAGACAGGCCACTCCTTTGGCGCTCTCAGACGAGGTTGCTTTGTTTCCGCTGCGCCCTACATACGGAGCGAGGGGTCCCCAGCCCGCCGCCCGCCGCCGCGCCCTGCCTGAGCGAGGGGTCCCCAGTCGTTCCTCCTCCTGAGAAATGGGTGGGAGAGGGCTCAGGTTCCTGGCGTTTGCCACCGTGCATTCGAAGTCGCATCGGTGCATTTGCATTTGACACGCTTCTCGCTTGTATCCTCTCGTGCCCCCGCCATTGGCGCTGGGTTCCTTTGGCGCTCCCTGCGCTGCCACCGCAGTGGGCCACGCTCTGGCGACCAGTTATGAGAAGGGCGGGGAGGGGCTGGTGAGGGATCGGGGGGAGAGGCGGGCACAGGGATTGAAAGTTAAATGGGAAGGGGAGCCATGGGAGGGACGCGGGGAAAGGGGGTAGCAAGGAAAGGGAGGTGAGACGGGGGACGTGGATGCGGAGCTATCCGTTGAGCTATCCGTTGAGCTATCCGTAGGTATGTGTACCCCGCGGGTTAGCGGCCACCCCGCGCCGTGCGCCCGGAGGGGAATCGGAGGGACAAGGGGAGAGGGATGGATGGGTGCAGAGGCTAGATGGGCGAGGGGGGAAGGGAAGGGGGAGTGGAGTTGGACAGGCCAAGCCTTACAAGTTGCAGCATTGGACGGGCCAATCGACCAAGCGCAACTCTGACACCATGCGCAGGGCAGGGCTGAGTGTTTTGCGACGATGGGCAATCATATAGCGCGAGAAAGCTTGGCCGCATGCTCTGCTCATAGCCTGTGAACATCATCCCCGTGTGTTATGTGTGTTTGCTTTGTTCCCCACATCCTAAGTGGGGTTCTTGTTTTCTCTGCACACCCTCCGCGCAGGATCTCTCGTCCTCCTCCCTCTCCTCTGCTCCTCTTTGCTTCCTCCTCCGCATCATCATCACCATCACCATCACTCCCCACTCATCATCATCATCATCACCATCAGCATCACCATCACCATCGCACGATCACTCACCATCATCGGCATCGAACGATCATCATCATCATCATCATCATCATCATCATCATCATCATCATCATCATCGCTGACTCACCACTTCGTCCCCATCATCATCACCACCATTTACCATCAGAATCGCACGATCACTCACCATCAGCACTCATCATCACCACCATCATCATCATCACGTCGTCATCATCACCACCACCACATCATCATCATCATCATCAATCATATATCATCATCAAACACCGTCGTCATCATCCCATCACCATCATCCACCAAGAGGGAGCCTCGTCTGTGAGTGAATTGTGAGGAAGTCTCAGGCGGGAGCCCCCTCCCTATGGGGCCCGCAGATCATGTTACTAATCCGAGCGGGTCATCGGATTCCTGTAACTGTCGTCACTTTTGGGCTCCTCAGGTCTGAATTTGGAGGAAGTATCAAGCGGGAGCCTCGTCTGTGAGTGAATTGCGAGGAAGTCTCAGGCGGGAGCCCCCTCCCTATGGGGCCCGCAGATCATGTTATTAATCCGAGCGGGTCATCGGATTCCTGTAACTGTCGTCACTTTTGGGCTCCTCAGGTCTGAATTTGGAGGAAGTATCAGGCGGGAGCCTCGTTTGTCAGTGAATTGCGAGCAAGTCTCAGGCGGGAGCCCCCTCCCTATGGGGCCCGCAGATCATGTTATTAATCCGAGCGGGTCATCGGATTCCTGTAACTGTCGTCACTTTTGGGCTCCTCAGGTCTGAATTTGGAAAAGTATCAAGCGGGACCCTCGTCTGTGAGTGAATTGTGAGGACGCGTCAGGCGGGAGCCCCCTCCCTATGGGGCCCGCAGATCATGTTATTAATCCGAGCGGGTCATCGGATTCCTGTAACTGTCGTCACTTTTGGGCTCCTCAGGTTTAAATTTGGAAAAAGTATTAAACGGGACCCTCGTCTGTGAGTGAATTGCGAGGAAGTCTCAGGCGGGAGCCCCCTCCCTATGGGGCCCGCAGATCATGTTATTAATTTGAGCGGGTCATCGGATTCTTGTATCTGTCGTCACTTTTAGGCTCCTCAGGTTTAAATTTGGAGGAAATATCAAGCGGGACCCTCGTCTGTGAGTGAATTGTGAGGAAGTCTCAGGCGGGAGCCCCCTCCCTATGGGGCCCGCAGATCATGTTATTAATTTGAGCGGGTCATCGGATCCTTGTAACTGTCGTCACTTTTGGGCTCCTCAGGTTTGAATTTGGAGGAAGCATCAAGCGGGAACCTCGTCTGTGAGTGAATTGTGAGGAAGTCTCAAGCGGGAGCCCCTTCCTTATGGGGCCCGCAGATCATGTTATTAATCCAACAGGGTCATCGGATCCTTGTAACTGTCGTCACTTTTGAGCTCCTCAGGTCTGAATTTGGAGGAAGTATCAGGCGGGAGCCTCGTTTGTCAGTGAATTGCGAGCAAGTCTCAGGCGGGAGCCCCCTCCCTATGGGGCCCGCAGATCATGTTATTAATCCGAGCGGGTCATCGGATTCCTGTAACTGTCGTCACTTTTGGGCTCCTCAGGTCTGAATTTGGAAGAAGTATCAAGCGGGACCCTCGTCTGTGAGTGAATTGTGAGGACGCGTCAGGCGGGAGCCTTCCTATGGGTCCCGCAGCTCACGTGGTTCCTCCGGGTCATCCTCCGGCGCGCGCTTCCTCTGGGTCGTCCTCCGGCGCGTATCGGCTGGGACGCACGTCGTGCGCTTCCTCTGGGTCGTGTTCCGCACGAGGACGAGGAGGAGGAGGATTGCCAGGAAAAGGAGGAGGGATGATGCAGGACGAGACAGGAAAGCAGGAAGAGGAAGAGGCTGAGGGGAGGAAGGACGAGGAGGAAAAGGAGGAGGAGGAATGCCCGAGGAGGCCCCAGTAGGTCCCGAAGGCTCCAGGAGGCCCCAAGAGGCCCCAGGAGGAGGCCCCAGGAGGGGGCAGGAGGCCTAAGGAGGAGGCAGGAGGAGGAGGAGGAGGAGGAGGAGGAGGAGGAGGAGGAGGAGGAGGAGGAGGAATAGGAAACGAGGAGGAGGAGGAGGAGGAGGAGGAGCGGATGAGGGAGAGGGAGAGGAGGAGGACAGGGGATGAGGAGGAGGAGGAGGAGGAGGAGGAGAAGGGAGAGGGAGAGCAGGAGGAGGAGGCAGGAGGCAGGAGGGGCAGGGGGAATGGGGGGGAGGAAGCATAACGAGGGGGAGGGGGAGGAGGTGGAGGAGGCAAGAAGAGGAGGAAGAGGCAGGGGTCGAGGCAGGAGGAGGAGCAGACAGGAGGAGAACGAGGAGGCAAGAGTAGGTGGGAGAAGGGAAGGGGCAGGAGGATACCCCCATGCAAGCTAAAGAGATTCTCATGTGGGGTCCTTCCGTCGGAGTAATTTTTGCTGTGCACACATGTATATATATATATATATATACACATATCCGTATAACGAGTCATAGTTACGCATTTATCTTCGTATGCATCATGTATATGTATATAATATATGTAATACACATAACACACATATACTATAATATCCGTAAATCGCTCCCCCCGCGGCCCCGGGGCGCCCACTCCGCAACCATCCGGGCAAGATGTTTGCTACCGCCTCCCCAGGGCCTCCAAGGGGCCTCAAGACTGCCCCCAATCCATCCAAGACAGCACCCAGAGGCTCCCAAGATGGTCCAAGAGGGCCCCGAGACGGCCACATATTGCTTCAAGACGCCCAAGATGGTCACAAGACGGCCCAACAGACCCCAAAGAAGCCCCAAGAGCATTCCAAGAGGACTTTCAAGAGGGTTCAAAGGGGCAGATCTATTTGATGTTCCTTGTATGTATGTGTGTGTGTGTGCGTGTGTGCGTGTGTGTGTGTGTGTGTGTGTGTGTGCGTGTGAGAGTGAGTGTGAGTGTGAGAGTGTGTGTGTGTGTGTGTGTGTGTTTGTGTGTTTGCCATTCGACAATTATTAATACGAAAAAAAACATGTTCTCGCGTTATTGGCTTCCGTCGCTCCAAGATGGCCCCAGAGGCCCCCAAGACCGCCCCGAGACGGCCCAAGAGGCCCCGAAGAGGGCCCCAAGGCGGTCCAAGAGGGCGCCAAAGCGGCCCAAGAGGGTCCCAAGATCGCCCAAGAGGGTCCCAAGACGGCCCCTAGAGGGGCCCAAGAGGGAGAACACAAGCCGACAATTGTTTACGCTTCGCGAATCCCCACCAGCTTGCACGGCGTTCGGCTCGTCTTCGCGCGCCCGCGTACCAATTACTCCGACGGAAGGACCCCACATGAGAATCCTCTGGGCGAATCTGGAAAAAGCCCTCACCGTCGTCCTCGTGGTTGGTGAGGCGTCCTGGCTGTCTCTTCTGCGTATATTTCTTCTCGTCCTGGCGCGGGCCCTCCCCACGATCCCTACGTTGCCCCCGACCTCGCCCTCGTGGTTTGGCTCCGGACATTCAGAAAGTGGCCCGGGAGTGGTGTTCTGGGAGCACGAAGAACACGAAGTGGCCTACAGTTGGCTCTGGGCATTCAAAATGTGGCCCGGGAGTGGTGTTCTGGGAGCACGAAGAACACGAAGTGGCCTACAGTTGGCTCCGGGCATTCAAAATGTGGCCTGGGAATGGCGTTCTGGCAGCGCGAGAGCCCAAGAGTGGCGACAGTTACAGGAATTGGATGACCCGCTCGGATTAGTAACATGATCCGCGGGCCCCATAGGGAGGGGGCTCCCGCTTGAGACTTCCTCGCCCTTC